AACCTCCGCTGATATTTGTGATGCTGATACGTTGAATAGGTCTTTTGCTTGGCACTGATTTTAATCTTGATCATATCTCAATAAAAAAATATAATTCATATATTTTGCTTTATGGAAGTTGACATTCTAATTGTAGAGAAAACTGAAAATTTCTTCTGCATTGTTAGAGGACGATATTCATTTAAAGATGTTATCTCCCATGCCAGGAGTCTTTCTCCTCACTTTATCTTTCTTATTAATTTATGTGTCTCCGGTGGCATTTTTCCAAATGCGTGGAAATACCCCAGGGTCATGCCAGTCTTGAAATATATTAATCCCAATGTGATTTTTATCTCATAAATCTATGGCCATCTCTTTCTAAAGTTCTTGAAAAAATCGTTACTGCCCGACTAAATGAGCAGCTTGTTGCTAATAATATCACCTTTGGTAGTACCGCTCGACTTTGAAATACTTGATAGGGGGAGTTTCCCAAGGAGGTACCTCTTTTTTTTTAAGCTTCCACTATTCTTATCAGTTTGCTGATGACCAACAATTACACTATTCCTTTCCCTTGGTGAACTGGCTGTTGCTTTTTGGCTCCCATAGAACTCTGCTAGAAATAATAACAATAATTATAATAGTGTCTTCATTTCCACAACATCTAGTTGAAGCGATAAAACGGATAGAAAAGCCAGCTAAAGAAACACAAGCTTGAAAATGGATGATATATAAACAAAGTTTATGACACTAGGAAAAAAAGAGTTTAGTGGGAGAATAAGGAATATTATTCGAAAACTAGAAAAATTTAGTTATTTAGGGGTAGCTAAAACATCAGTTTGTGAGGAAAAACATGGAATTCAAGAAAAGATAGCAAAATATATAAAATGTATGGGTGGATTACATCACATATTAAGAGCAAAGAACGTGTCAAGAAGTCTGAAGAAAGGAGTGTACAAACCGATGATTAGGCCAACTACCTGGTATGGAAGTATGGAAGCTCAATAAAAAGGAAACGGAAACGGCGTTTTCTCAAAAATGAATACAACTTCCTTATTTTATCCCGCAATCATAGATGTGGTGTTAAAAAATTGCATGGCGAAAATATTTTTTGTTTATATATTACTAGGAAGTGCATAATATTCATTTTTCTTCTATGCTCCACATCCAACCAATTTGCGTCTATAAGCCTGTCTGATCTGTCTGATTTTTGGATTCCGTATATGAGACGAAGACAAGAATTTTGAAATTTTTGTATGTTGTTTTTTTTTCTGCTATCGTTAAACCAGTACGGTAGACAACATCACGTCATCTCACTGAATTTTCAAAAATAACTCCTAAATTTCTAACATTGTCTTTAATTTTTAAGGTACAATCCCCTATTTTTATAACAACGTTGTTTAATACACTAGAAATGTCATTTTTTTTAATTTAAGATTTTCAAAATCATCGTGTATTGCTTGATAAGAACGAAAAAAAAACATCTTTAGTGAATGACAGATATATCTGTGTCATTCTCATAATGTTGTTCTGATCTCATCATTGGCATTCACCAGTGCTAAGGACCATCCGTGGTACCGCCTGAATCCAGACTGATTTTCGAAAAAATTGTGATTTTCCTCCATATGTTCTGACAGCTGATTATTTATAATTTTCATAAAATTTTTTGAAAGACATAGGAGGACTCTACTGGTCTGAAATCTTTAAATTTTTGAAATTTATTGGTTTGTGGCAAAGGCATTATCAGAATTTTTTTCCACAAATCTGGATAAACGGATCTATGAAAACAAGAAGTTATTATGCAAAGGCCTAATTTCACTTATTGACGTACTGACGAAATAAAGAAATTATCTATATCGTCAGGCAAATTTGGGCGATTCGGACTTTAGATTCTCAATTTTTCTTCAAAAATAGTATGCTAAACTTAAAATCCTATGTCCCTACATAAGAACGCTTTGAGCAAAGAAGTTAAACTGAAGCTGTATAATAGTTTGGTTCTATAAAAAAAAAACGATGTATTTTTGAAAATTTTACACCATGTATCTTTAAAAGCAGACATTATGGAACATCCGGTTATTTGACTTTTTATGCTTTTTTGTTATACTCCTTTCCTTTCATTTATAAAACACCTTTTAACTACAATTCCGTTTGAGAGGTTGTCAAAATCTCTAACAGTAATAAAGAAGATAAGTTAAAAAAAAACTACATAAGCATATAATATCTGAAAAAAGTTTTTTTTCTGTTGAATATTCTGTTCGTTTCTAGTTCTTCACTTTCTATTTATATGATATTTTTGTCTTCTTCATCTCCTTTTCACTTACTCATTATGTTAATGTTGTATTATTATTATTATTGTTATTACTATTATTAATATTGACCCCGAGATCATAAAAAATATATTAAGTAACCATATAAGACCAAGATATTTTCAGTACGCTAGTTTTTATAAATCTGTACCATTCATTTTTATTAATTTGTGGTAAAATAGGCAATTATTGCAAATTTCTAAAACCCGATTAGTTAAGAACGAAATTGCACGCACTCTTTTTTTTTCTGCATTTTCTAAGGTCAAAACTTGGGAATAACACCGATTTCGCCGTCAACACCTTGTAGATTTTTTTCATTTTTGGATTTCCGCAATCAAAAAATTGCATTTGGAACCTGCCTAGTATGAAAGGGGTATAATAAAATATACATAATGTCTGGTGTATAATTTTCAAAAATACATGGGTTTTGTGTCGTTCTGGGGGGAGCACCTTAAAAATTCTATTCGTAAAGTATTTTTTTATCTCAAAAAAATGAAGATTAAATTCATGGTAACATCATGACCGGCAATGCTACTTTTTTATATTTTTATTAGCCGGATGTACCGATATTAAGCGAACGAAAGCGAACGATTATTAATTGTACAATTGAAATTTTAATGAAAAGTCAATACGACTTTTAACGAATTCTAATGTAATCGGAAATTAGTGAAGGTCTTGGGCCAATTCTTCAGAGGAGTTTTTTTTCAACTCTCCCTAAAACAGTTTTCGTTGTGTTGAGATTAATAACGCCACTTTCAAACTTTAATTATATAAAAAAAAACAAAGTCGTTGGTTCCGGTTTTTTTAATTTTTAGCAGTATTAAAAATGCATTAATCTCAAAATGGCATAGACGAATGAAAAAAAGAAAAACAATTCACATAATTTTAAAAAATTACATAGAGGATGAGAAACTACTAAAACCTGGACTTAACATTAACATAACTAATAATAAAAATCGCTTGCTACCTTTTTTAATGTACCTTTTTAATATATTAATATATGATTAAACCTAAACGCTGAACTTTTGCCACCATATATTTTTTGTGAAGGAAAACTGTGTTTACTTTTCGTATAAAATTTTGGGAGACATTTTTTGCACAATTGCTCAAAAGTTGTTGAACATAAACATAAAAGCTTGGCAAAACAAAAATATATTTTTTCAATAAAACACCCTGTATTGTAATATATTAAATCGATAACGTAAATCCAAAATCTAAATTTGTAAATGATTTACTTGAATCGATGAGTATAGGAAACCTTAACAAAAGTAACAATAGCTCAAGTATTAATAATTATTTTCTAATTGATTTTGCTTGATTGATTTTTGCATTAAAAAAATCAATCAATTAGTTTTCAGTTGGCAGGAATCTAGAATCAAAACAACCCGAATAACCGTCAGAACTGACAAACGTCAAATTTCAAGCCGTTGGAAATATCTCCGAAAAAAATATCTCGCTAGGTCGGTATATAATTGAGTATTTTAGGGGCATTTAATTGGTTAACTGTATCCCCAAATTTGTTGTTGTAATACAAAAACTTTTATTGGCTTATTTTTGTCTACTCTCTTTTAATTCGCCCCACAAAATGAAGTCCAGTGGGTTTAAATCCGGGCTCCTGAATGGCCAGATCGTGTCAATTTGCCCAATCCTTTGTCTAAAATTTCCATTTAACAATTCACTGATGTCAGCACTTCGATGATAAGCAGCACCATCTTGTTGCCAAATTAAATTTAGATGTTCTATTTCAAGAATAGTATACGGAATAAGATGCTCAATATTATTTCTTAGATCTAAAAATCGCACTGCTGTCGAATTTTCTTCATAAAATATTACCCCTAAAGTTCCCCACATACTGCACCGCACTTTAACCGATCTTCTACCAGGTTTATTTGAATCAGATTCACAAAGCTTTTTCGATGATGTCATGTTACTGATGTTGTAAATATCGATTCATGATTAAACTAAATTAAAATGAATAAATGAAATAATATTTATTCATTTATTTATTTTCTAATAAACAATTTTTATAATATTTAATGGTATTTAAAATAACCAGCAATTTTCCAAAAGAAAAGATTAGAATTTTTAAAATATATTACGTAGAAAAATGTTTTAAAAGTTAATATGCAAGATAACAAAGAAAATCCCTAAGAAATTCGCTAATAACCATGCATTAGAGGCGGTTATTTAGATATTTCTATATATCATTGGATTCGTCCTTATACTTCTTATTTAAAAATGTATTAAAATATAGGCTGCTCCTTTTTAAAAAAATGTAAATTTATTTGACCACCCTGTATGTAATTGAGTAAAAAATTAAAGTTCATTTTATTAGACACAATTTTTGTTTTCAGAATGCAGTGCGTAATACAACAGAATGCATTCATATATTTTTTATTTCAATTTCCTTACTACTACCCTGAACCGGGTCGATTACGAGTAGATAAAAATGGCATTAATACAGTAGTGACCGTTTATCATGTGTCAGACTATAAAAACAATTATTTAGAGATCGGCAGACTCAAAGTTGTCAATTAAGTTCGTTCTCTGCCAACTGTCGGAATCCTACTACTAGAAAAAATGAGATAGTGCGAAAGAGAGAGGCATCGGGTCCTTGCGATGGGTAAATGCCCCCAAATATTAAATGTGTCATTTGAAGAGGACGTTGCCTATAAATAGCAAGGAGATGCCCACGACGGGCATCACTGTCCCCCGGCTTCTAGTGCGACGCAAAATGCAATTGGTGAGTGAGCCCGCTTTTTTTTCGCTGACGCTGAAGTTGTTTTTCAAAAAAAAATTTAGTTCGTTTCACTTTTCTCGATATGGGTGACGGTGATCTCGGGGGCCCGTTTGGAGGGCTCCTACCTTCCGCCCAGTAGCGCCCCGAGCGCGGGGGGCAGCGGCGCTTTCTTATCGGCCCCCCCGGTCACCCTTTTCGGCGGTTCCAGTGCGTTTCAAGCTAGAGCGTTTACCTCTACGGGTAAGTAATATACAAATAGAAATAATAAGAATGCTTACAATTTTTCAAAGAAACTTCCACAGACTACTGTAATACTTTTAATAAATAAATAATAAATCGCAAATAATTAAAATTATTAAGACCAAGGTAGTTTTTTCAAAATTCAAAAATAAATTCATTTCCATTTAGACTTGTGTCGACCCCAACCTCACTCAAAGTGCCGCATATTGTCAAAAATTAATACATAATACTTTTTACAAAACTTCTGGATTCCTTCTGCGTCGGTTTTTGGTGAGTCGAAATTTTCAGTTTCAGTCAAGCTCTGAAGAAGCCAACAGGATGATTGGCGAAACGTCAGCATTTAACTTACAGGCTCAAGATTCAATATCAAGTTGTAATTGCCTTAAAATTGAGTTAAAGACTAAATTAAAAACTAACTAGTACTACTTAGAATATGCGTGAAAAGTTACCCCATCAGGAACGTATATACACAGGAAATCATTCAATTGAAATAATTGGATTACATTGGTGACATTAGGAAATAACAATAATAATTTTCGAATAATTTTGCAAACAATGCTTTTGTATTATTGAATATATCTATTTTACTTTGGCATTGATTATAAGATGTAACCATTGCGATGTAAAGGTCCTTTTGTTTTCTTTGGAACACTTAAGTATAGCGTACTCAAATTTTAAAAAGATACGGTAACTGAGTCATGATTTTCTGTGGTGTAGTGTTAACATCTTTTTAAAATATAGTTCACAAATTCAAGAAATTTATTTTGAATTTTGTCAAGCATCTGGACTGCATTAACAGATTATTTTCAAAGTTCATTTTTTTGCATTTCTAATTAAGAATGCAAGATTTTTTATGCCTCACTATCTTTACAATATGTTCATTGAACGTTAGTTTCGTATCAAATATAACGGCAAGTTCATCTCTTGTAGTAACTTTATTTAATTTATATTTAAGAGAAAGTTTTTTTTACATGTGTAAATGTTACACTTTTTGACCACTTTAATAAATCATTAACATTCTCTTGCAATTCTCTACAATTATTTTTCATGTCTTGCGCATACAGCAAGATATTTGAATGTTGGCTCGTTCTATATCATCAATAATAGTGGCCCTAATGTTGATCCCTGTGGCACCCCTGAAGTAACAGCAAATGATTCTAAAATATTACTAAGTTACTAGTTTACTAAATAAGATGGCAATACACCTTGGATAAGGAAAATTGACTTAGTTTTGATATTATATTGTTATGGTGAACTAGATGAAAAGCTTTTTCAAAGTCTGTGACCCCCAGATGCCATGTCATTTGTAACAAATTCTGTAAAATCTATTAGATTTCGCACAGATCTGCGTTCTCGAAAACGTTTGCTTTGTGTGAGCTTATCCTAGCAGTTGAAATGTTTTCGAAAATAATTGCAATGGCGATAATTTGTCACATCAGTTTGTGAACATGATTTACAAGCGATTGCAGCTATTTTTAATTTGTCTGGGAATGTTTCCGGCGGTATTTTTAGATTATTTATCAGTATCATAAAAAACATCACCCATTTGCTGGTACTATGTTTTTATTGTTGAATTGTATCTACTTGATATGTATATAGATATATATGTAGATATATACCGTGCGTTCAATTTATCTTGATAACATTTTAATTGGCTGTCCCTTTACACTTTCAATTTTCTGAAAATATGTACTTTTAAATGAAACACCCTATATATTATATATGTGTTTAATAGAATATCTTATTCCGAGTTATATTTTTGCAAACAAATCGGCAAAAATAGGAAATTCCAGTGCCCTGACTGACAAATAAAAATATTTTTATGTTTGACATATTAACAAAAAACGTTGATGGTTGAATTATTGTCCAAGTCATTATTGGTAAAATGGTTTTTCACGAATTTAACATCCGTGAAAGCAGTGATATGCTTCAAGTATTCTTTCTGAATAACAAAAGTGCAATCGCAGGTCGTAGTCAGTATATTATACTTTAGACTTTAGCGCCTTCAAAACAGATATTTCCGAGACTGGCAAAGAAATTTGCAGAAACGGTAACGTATTAAATGTTAAACAAGTATGCCGGAATCATAATGTTTTAAATGAAGAAAATAAGGCAAACATATTAAGATTCTATAAAGTACATCCGGTTTCCTCTATTCCATCCACTCAGTTTTGAAAAAATATAAATATAATGCATTTAAATTTAGTTAAACTCAAAAACTAAGTGCAATTTGGTTTGGAATTTTTTGAAAAACATTTTATGGACTGGTGAAAGTTCGTTCACTACAAGAAAGGGTTATAGTAGACAAAATATTAGTCTTTAAATAACCCTAGACAATCACACGAAATAAAAATCCCTGTGTACCAATCAATTAATAGAACAATATATAGAAGATTTACCTAAATAGATCAGCGCTGATTATATGGCAGCAAGACGGAGCCAGTCCTCACCATGTTATACAAGTTAAAAATTTTCTTAACATGGAATATCCCAGAGGTTGTATAGGAAATGGCGGAACTATGGATTGACCAGCCAACAGCCCCGATTTAACTTTAATGGATTTTTTCTTTTCGAGACACATAAAAAATCACTTGCCCAAAACTCCTTGTCTTGTTTACTTGCCGGCAAAGGATTTCAGAGGCAATCAATCAGTTAAGAGACAATCCGGAAACGTTACTAAAGGCAAGGCGTCATACAATCAGAATGTATAAGAAATGGGTTTAGGAAAATGGTGGCCAAATAAAGCAATATTTAGAATAGTTAGAGAATTTTTTACTTTAGTGTGTCTTGTCATTTGTAGTATTTTTGTTCTACTTTCATTTGTAAATAATTATTGTTGTTGCAGTCAGTCACGCCACTCTTTGCAATTATATAAAAATTTCCTATTTTTGCGGATTGATCAAAAACGAGTGGACTAAAATATAAAGTGTAAAGTAATCGAAATAAGATATTCTATAAAACACATATACAATATACAGGGTGTTCCATTTGAAAAATATGATGTAGGCTTATATGTCATAAAATTGATAGTGATTTGTTTTATACGTCACTTGGAAAAAAACTTGTATACTAACCCTACATTTTGTTTTTTTTTTGTTTACCTTGATGCTTGATGTATGATCTTAATTAAGAAAGAAAACTAAATTTTTAATGTATCCAAGTGACCAGTGAATCCATAAAAATTTGTTTGGTTTTAGGTGATCTCGAATGGTATGTGGATAAGAAAATAAATTTAATTTGTTGGAACTCCAATATAATATTAAGCTCGTCCGTAATAGTTAATCTAAAACAATTAAAAAACAGTTTCAAAATTCTAGTTTGAAGCATTTGACCAGTGCTTAAATTAATTTTACCACGTGCTTCCACAACGGCAGTAACTATGTGAAATGTGTAATTAGTAAAATAATTTCTACATCTGTTATTGGGAATCGTGTTATTTTTTTACAAATGCATTCTTTATTCCAGATAATTTCCCTTATTCCAAAATTAATTTTAGGAGGGGGGGGGGGGCAATTTCAGTAAGTACACTAAATGTACAATTCTATTACAAATAACCTCAACAATCAACACTAAATATCACGTAAATTACCAAGGATATTACCGTTGGAATGGCAGTTGGTAGTAGAAAAAAATCGTTGCCATTATTTTCTTAAAAATGCATTCAATATGCTCAGATCACTTAAATTTGTTATCGCCTTTGGTAGTTAAAATGCTGAACGTCTGCTTATCACAATCCCCACCACTTACCCTTAAGAGTTAGAGCAAAAATTATTCTTCGGAAAACAATCGAATGTATCCCACCTTTAAAACGATGTTCATTTTAGTGATCTGCAATATACGATTATTCTTAAGACACAAGATTTTAAATTTAAGAGTGCGATTACGCCCCCTGGCTGCCATTCTAGAAACTTAAAAACTATTTCCTTTTCCGCTTTGGTGAGAAGTTTCTTCACACCGACAATTACACGTTACATCAGAATATGTACATTAGGTTCTTGTGTTTTATTTACTATTTTGGGTCAGACCACTTTAATTTATTGCGAATTAGAAGTCCTAGATAATTTATATGCTGAACTTCTTGAATTGTTTATTTATTGATTTCAATGTTTGAATTTTGGATCTGCTTATTTTTTGATTTAATCATTTTAATTGTATTGCCAACTTAAGTAGAGATTAAGGTCACTATTTACTTTTGTTAATTTAATTTAAAAATACTAATAGCTCTTGGGAGAAACGCGTTCTGCGCGAATTTTATTTATTTATTATTTAGTGGATTTCATACGATTTGATTGAATTTTTTGTCATTTTGGCGAAAAGAAAACTATTAACACTAAATACCACTTAAGTTACCACCGATAAGATCTGGATATTTCTCGATGTCTCTTCAGAATGAATTTCCTCCAGAATTTTCTATTATTTCAATACCACTATACTTGCATTAATTACAAGTGATTGTCACTAATTTCCCCTAAAATTTCCACTAATTGACACGTCGGCGTACACTAATTTACCACAAAACAGCGGACCAATTAATTTTAGCAATTTAGCAATAAATGCGTTGGAATGGTAGTCGCATCGTTTAAAATTATTTACCTAATGCAGAACCGGCAGAAGTAAATGATTTAGTTTTATTTTAAACGAAAATTATGTAGTGGTTCCTAAAATGACGGGTTAATACATGTAACTTTTAAATAATTTTCCGGCAAAATCAAGTCTTTGGCGCCTTTGGACGAGATTCAACCAACCAAATCGTGTGAAATTTAGTTTACATCTGCATTATGTATATTGTTATTACATAATTCAACCATCGTTTTGCTGTTATTTAGATTGATGTCTAATGGTTTGTTTATCGCACCAAACTTGATTAAAACCATAAAAAAAATGCGCATCCACCATGGAGGTACAAAATTTTAACTTTTTAATCGCCTTTTGTTGCGATAAACAAACCATTAGAAATAAGCTAAGAGATTGCTTGCTATTGATTCCGTATGCATTGAAATACTGAAATACAATATTATTCATATTTTGTCTTAATTTAGAAAAAAAGCTACATTTTTAATATAATCAAGTCAAAATTAAGGTGACCGTTTACAGTATTTTCAATGAAACGCGTTCTACGCTGATTTACATATTTTATTAATTTAATAGTTTGGCGATTTAACAAAAATGTTACGGTTCGGTGTTTTTGTTTTATTTTGCTGAAAGGAAAGTCAGCATATTAATAAAAATTCGTTGTTGAAGACCATAGCCGGTCAAATTTTGACTAATTCGTCATCAAATTTTGGAAAATTTTCATTATTTAAGTCGGAGGGGCTGGGGAGGGGGGTCAGTAATGGATTTGCCTACATTAAATGTACAATTCTATCAGAAAAATAATAATAATAATTGATTTTGGTATTGCTCTTATTAAATAAAAATAATAATGAATGAAATAATCAGTAAAAAGTAAGTAAATATTACTGTTTAAATATTATATGTAATAACCTAAATTTGCAGGAAAATAATTCATATAAAACGCAATATTTTGAGACGTCTAATCAAGAAAAAGCGTAAAAACAAGCAATCTAAAGAGATTAAAATTTGACAACAAATTAATATAATATTACAGTCTAATAGTATGTGACGTCACACCTATATTTATCAAAACCATTGTATTTCACAATAGCTCACACTCACAGTTTTAATAACATAGTCCAAAAAAAGTCCAAACAAATAAACAAATTTTACGGGTATTATAACAGGGACCAAGACTAAATAGATCCTCTAAGATAGAACTGTCGTACACTCTATAGAACACAAATTCAACTGCCAAAATATAACTTATTAAATTAAATTTTTAGGCTTTTGTAGAAATTCTCTCTTCCATAAAACTTGAATTCTGAATATTTGTCGACGTATCTCCAGAATTAGAGGTGTTTTGAATGACTTATTGACATAAAATTTCACCCTATATTCTCTATTAGTTCTATATTACTATACTTCCAAGTGAATGCCATTAATTTTCCCTTAAATTAGAGGAAAACCAGCGGACACGTCAATTTTTGCATTGTTGGCGAATGCGCCGGAATCGTAGTTGCAGAGTTTTAAAATATGGATTTAACTAATACAGAACCGGAAAATGTTAATGATGTAGTTGTATTTTAAATTATGCAGTTGTTGTTCCGGAAATTATGACAACGTAATATGTGTAACTTTTTTTTAACTTTATTTTTTGGGGCAAAATCAACATTTTGCCACTTTGCATTAGATTTAACCAACCTAAAATCATGTAAAACTTTAATTTGCGGTCGCATTATGTATAATGTATAGTATTATATAAGTGATCATTTTGTTTTGCAGCTATTTACATTGATCTTTTAAATTATCGCGCATCCACCATCTAAGAATCGAATTTATTCCAGTGATCTGCAATATAAGACTAGTTCTCAAGAAACGTGATTTTAAATCCTAGTCATAAGTTTTTTCACCCCAAGTCGACAGTTACGCTGTACGTCGTTAGTCATCAGAATAGTTACATTATATTTTTGTTTTATTCGATATTTTTTAAATGAATTTAATTTGTTGTTGTTTGTTAATTTGATATTACCGTTGGAATGATAATGTTTTTTATATTGCTTCTATTAAATGAATAACGACTGGTAAGTAAAGATTGCTTTTCATATATTCTATTTATTAGCCTACGTTTCGAGGAAAATAAATAATACGAAATGCCATTTTAAGACATCCAATCAAGAAAAAATATAAAAACAAGAGATCTAAATAAATTTTTGGTCATATTTGACAACAAATTAACATAATACAGTCCAACAGCCTGAAATGTGATATTGAAAACCCATATTTGGTATAATTATTGCATTTCACAGTCACTCATACTCACAATCAGTTATAATAATAGTAAAATAATAATAAATGTAAATAATAATAATAAGTAGAAAACTCAGACTAAATATATACTCCAAGGTATGACAGTCGGAGGACACTGAATTAAATTAAATTGTTTTAGAAAAAAGTTAATTTTTACATAAGTAATTAAGGCTTATCCTTATAAATTTATTTAGTATTAGATGGTCAGCCTTCAAATGATGCGCAAATGTTTTGAAGTTAGTATTTCTTGACGCGATGCTGGATGCACAAAATTTAAACATTTAAATCATATTTGTTTGCAATCAACAAATCATTACATAAATTAAGATATTACTTGCCGCTGCCTCCGAATGCAATACAAAGTTTTCAATTTCGTCTTTAAATTTAAAACTCAGCAATACCAACTAACTTGTTTGCAAAAAGGACAAGGATATTATTCATTCATTATTATTTTATGTCTAACTGTTCATGAAGATAAGTAAGCAGCAAAAAATTAAATTTTTAATGAGCCCAAGATGTTAAAACTAACCAAAACGAAACGCACTATTAACTTTTAATGTATTTGCTGTACAGTATCGAGTATCTGTGAAATTAAGATATGTGCAAATGGCATAAAATACGGACAACACTTAAGATTCATTTTGTTTCAGGCACGAAAAAAAAAATAGAGATACTAAGATAATACTAACCTACCAAAACTATCATCGCAGTGAGAAAATCGGGGGATGTGCGCCACTGAATTAAAACAGGGAAAAACCAAAGAAGCAAGGGATCAGTGCTCGAAAATTGGTGGGAGTATATTCCAATTCGCGGGATTTTCTTACATTTCGCACACTTTTTCCTGTTTAGGGCACCGACGCTTGAAATTCCAACGGAAATAATTACCAATATTTAATAACATTAAGCTCGATATAACGTCAGCGTTGTTGAAGGGCCATTTTTAGTGAAATTCGGTGCATTCTTCTAATGTTTTCAACTGTTTCGCGAGAAGCCTTGAGCTTAACGACTTTGTCTTGTTCACTTTCATCGCTAGCATTCGGCAGCTTATAATGTGACTTTGCATTTGTTGTTTTTCTGTCTGCCTTAATACAACTTGTAGGAGAGCGTTCTTCTGCGACGAACGCCAGAGAACAAGTTCTTTTTTTCAATATGAGTTTCATATTGGAAAGTTCCATTTATAACTAATTATGATATAAATAAATAACGATAACATCATTGGTATCTCGCTATAATAGTCTGTAAAAGCAAAACTTAAGAATAATAAAATTTACTTTATTTATTTAAAAAAAAAACAGCCGCAACTTTAACATTTAGCGTCGGTTTATTGGTGCAATGCTGGATGCACAATTTCTTGTAACTTCAATTCATATATGTTTGCGACAAACAAATCACTAAATAAACTATTCAGTAATACCACTTTCATCAAACGCTTCCATTAAACACTGAATGGATTGTCTAGTTGTATATAAATCATACCACAATGAATTTTATAAATTTATTTAACTAATGTTATAACAATAGTCTTAGGCAGAAAGAAGGGTAAATATTCTAATAGTTAAAATTGATTATTAAGTATGACATATAAGAAGATCGAGATTTTTCCATTTAAAATCATCCAAATATATTCGTTTATTTTGAACACGCTGTGGCATCTAATTTCAATTTCGTTACATATATCTTTTACATCATCTTTGAATCAACATTCAAAAATAATGGCGCTAGGTGTGAAAAGCAGTATATTTTTAGCAAAATTAAAATATTGGAAAAAGTGTTAAGTTTCGGTCTGTACTATTTTTTGAGCAGATACAACCGTATAAATGCTGCATCCAAACGTTTTGTCGATCTACCAACGGTCATGTTGATTGTTGAATGGCCCAAGCTTATTGTTTAAAAACTAGATTTTAAATGTCGCACATTCGCATGTTAAATATACTTTCTTTTTTTTTAAAGCTGCTTCATAGTTCTTGTAATATCGGCACTGGAAATGCTTCTATATATATCTGGAATTGTCATGATCACAGGTCCCGCCAATTCTTACATCCCACCCCCATCCGGCCCGGTGCCGGCGTCTTACAGCACCTCGTCTTCTGGTCAATACGGCGGTTTCAGCTCCGGACAGCCCCAGCTCAGGATTCTCAGGCTGGACAACCAAAATCTGGGAGACGGCGCGTACAGATTCGAGTAAGTTACAGAATTTAACGACATATCCCTAGTAGTTTCAATAGATATTCAGTTGATTCTATATCAGGAAATTCTAAAAATTGGTGTGAAACTCCAAATCGCCTTGTTGCCAAGCCGTGCGATTTTTCCGACTTGTTGAACTATACGATTTGGTGTCTTTAAACGGCAAGCTTTCATTTTGACAGGTACGAAACGGAGAATCAAATAAGTCAGAGCGAAACCGGTGAGTTGAAAAACAGCGGGACCGAGCATCAGTCCAGCATCGTCCGTGGGTCTTACTCCTATGTATCTCCTGACGGTCAGCACATCACTGTCAACTACATAGCAGACGAGAACGGATTCAGACCCGAAGGTAGGTGAGATAATAATTTGCACTTTTCGGCGTTAATTTTAAGGATAATTAGGTGCTCATTTGCCTACGCCGCCGCCGATTCCTGAAGCGATCCGGAAATCCCTGGAGATCAACGCTTCGGCTGGCTATCCTCATCGCGATGAGTCTGAAGATGCTTACGATGGAGTGGTGGTCAATAGCAGACAGTATCTAGCACCCAGAATCAGCCAGGGAGGCGAGGGTGGTTATAGATATTAACCACGGCATGTTGCATAGTTTGCGACGCAATTTCTGGCTTTTGTTACAAGGATTGTTTTGGTGTACAAGTACATTTTTTGAGTAACATACAACAAATAATAAAGCAGCGCTCTTGGCATATTTTTCTACGTTTATGTTAACGTTTAGTGTTATTAATGTAATTAATTAATGTAATCAGTTAAGGCTTGCCTTGTAAATAAATGTAAATATAATACATACAAAATAAATACAATAATATTGTGATTACTTTTTTGTGTATTTTATGCAAATTTTACGCCATGTTTCAATTTGCGATTATTTACGAATTTATGAAAAGATAAGTGTCTAAAATATTTAGGAACACTCTTCATAAATTACAATGAATGTAATCCTACATTCTTTATTGTCATCGTAAAAAGCAATCCCCATAATGCAAATGTTTCCTTCCTTTCCTTTGTTCAAAAAAGGGAATTAAAAATATTATACCAAAAAAAAAAATATATATATATATATATATATATATATATATATATATATATATATATATATATATATATATATATATATATATATATATATATTCCCAAACAATCACGAAACTTTACAAAAATTGCTTTCTTTTTCATTATTATGGTGCGATGGTGGAAGGGCGATATTTGTTTTTTTGCATTCTTAGCGAATGCGCCACAATTTTATATGCGAGAATTTTAAATTAGTTAATAGTGAAACGGTACAAGGGGCAACTTTTTAAAACTTTAACTTACATAATTCTTTTTTATTATGTTACGATTTTCTTTTTGCTTTTGTACCTATGCCATTTCTCTTTTCATTTTGACCCTTGGGGGAGGTAGGTTATAGATCGATGGGGCTTATTAAACTGTGACAACCGCTATGCTCAGTCAAATTCCATGTTATAAAGTGCATCATTTTGATAGGTTCCGGCCCAATCTAAAATGAATCTTTAAATGCTACAAGCCTTGAGCAGATAATAACAATTTTTATCGTGGTATCTGAAGGCTGCTTGGTTTGTTAAAATATAGTATATGATATCTTGCCTTGTATGTGTGTAGCATAAATAATTTTTGTAGCGCTGCTAATACCTGAAATGGCTCGAATTACGACCAACTAGTAACGGACGGTGGGCGCGCCGAGGGTTGTAAACTCTCCCGGTTTCCAAAACTCCGTTTAAAAGCCGCATTTCCTTCGTTTCGGTGCTTGTTTGGAAATTTATTATTTGTTTTGAAGTAAACGAAAACAGCTGATGCATAGTACTGCGTACCCTATGCGCGGAACGGGTGGTGGTCACAGACCTGCGATCATTCTCTGGTCCCTTTTCTTTTCTTTGGCGGTTTTGGTGTTCTTTTTCCCGCCGGTAAGCAGCGTACTTCCTGTAAGTTTTCCCTTGTCCAGACTGTTTTTGTAAGGAGTCGCTTAAAGCTCACGCATATTGCGGATTTAGAGGGGTACTGATAACCCTGATCTCCGGAATAAGTGGGTAAACAGACGTGATCGTTTGTACCCCCGACTTGGTCGGATTTAGCGGAGAGAGGTTTTTAAGGATAACGCTCAACCTATAAGGCCACCTCACATCGACGGCCTTCTTTTTTTTCCTTTTTAATTTGACTTCCCATATACTATTTGCACTGCTCATTGGATCACATCAAGGATTGTTTTAACCACTTCACTCCTGGGGCTTCCTACTCACTATCCTCGGATTACGTCAACGCACGTTCGCGGCCACAGATCGCGCCCACTGGAGCTTGAGCCTGATGCAATTTCTTTTGGTAACTATCTGGAGATCTGCCTTACCTCAATAATACAAATAATAAGTTAAAAGAATTTTCTATGGTACCCATATCATATTCAACGACTCCAATCGTTACTTTCCAATGTTAATAATTGTTAATAGTTTTTGGACACAATTCTGCATTATCCCGTTTTCCTGCAAAAAAGGTTAGAAGGGGAATTGCCAATAATGCTAGAAGTACCATATTTAATTAGGAACAGAATGTAGTTCATGCATGATGGCAGCTCTGCTCACTTTAGTGTTGCAGTAAGAGAATATTTGAATCACATACAGAGAAGAGAAGAGAAGATTTTATTTTTTTTTTAAGTGAAAACCCTACATACGATTGACAGGAGAAATCAGTGACGTACCATCAATGTCTGCCAAAATAGCTACATGAAATTTCGTACGGTCGCCACATAGTACATCTATGCCAGATTTTATTAAAATATCTAAAGTGGTATTACAGTTATTTAAAAAACATATTTTTGAAAACAAAAGTTGAGATGTTCATACGAACCGCCTCCATAATTATTGACATGCAATTAGAAAACACCCTGTATAATAAATCAAAAAATATTTTTTCATAAAACAAACAGGCAAATAGGACTTAGAACTTTTGACAGTTAGTGTTAAGAGGGGAGCCAAGATTTCCCTGTAAAACTCTTTTTATCGAGTTTAGGAATTACTACCCGGCTTTAGGCCAATTTTGGCAGTTTTATTGACCTAACAAAACTGAAAACGGTACGCCAAAGGCAGAGAGCTCCAATCTAATGAGAGGCGACAGTCTCGCAATAGCTTCATTTAACGTTTATGTGTTACTGAGAGAAATTTGCCAACTGATGGACAGATGTATAGACTACAAAACATTTCTTTTAAAGAAAGGATCTGGGTGATTCAGTCTGTGTCGTTGGTTCTCAACAAAGGAGCGTCCTGGATAGGCCGTCGAAAACGTCTTGAGTGTTTTGCCTCACAAAACTTTGAAATTATATTGGGAATGGGAAACATTTCAAACTGTCGAATCCTGTTGCACATTCTCTTTGTATTCTGCAAGCAAACGGAAGCTGATAAAAAATCACACAATTTTAATAGTTTCTTAAACTTACCATCCTTTTGAGCCCTTCATGTTTTACGTCGACTCTTTGCACTCTAAGAACCTGATGACATAAATCGAGATCTTCCAATGAAACTTGTTGAAGCTCATATGAAATCTTTCACCGAACATTTACTCAATTTTTTTTACCCATACCGGAGCGTCCAAGAAACTCCTGAATCTGTTTAGGACCAATTCAAATATTGAAAAACTGCAATACAGGCGTGCTTTCATTAAACGGGCACATTTAAAGATATCGCCCCATGTTTTGAGGTACCGAGTTTTCGAATAATTGCAATGCGACATACTTTACTTCAAGTCGGGTTTTTCATCTCAAGCTTCTAAAATTACGCCTTTTGACGTTTTTTAATAACTCCTCGGAATCAACAGCTAACAATGCCTTGGAAGTCTGCACATTATATGAGTCGTAAGGCTCAAAAAGACCTACAAAAGTAACTGGGGGAGGTATCAAAGCTAGTGAGGAATTTTAGAGCTCAGTGATATCAAATTATATTGATATTTTTAAATAATATTTATCACATCCCAGTAACGGGCTACCAAAATCAAGGAATTTATTTAATCGATTCCGGGGATTTAGTTTTCATACTTTGCTCTAGAGGGCGCTTAGATCAAATACGGTTAGTTTTGTGACCATAGTTAATTATAGGCACTGATCTTCTTCTTCTTTTCTTCGTTTCGTTATGTGGGCAAGTGGCTAAGGGCAATTGCCAATCACAGACGTCGGTCGATAGGTTTTGTTAACGAGTCAAGCATACTCAAAATGGCCACTCACTCTTCACACTATGTGCAGTACTGGATTGGTTTAATGTTACCCGGCTTTGTTTAAACTTTTGGCATAAGAAAAATTAAAGCATGTGCAATAAGAAAGCCACATTAGGTTTAGCAATTATATTTCTAAAACAATTTTCGTTAAATAATGGAATCCCATAATTGACCACTTTTCAAACATGTGCTATTCAGATTATTATTCTTAACCAAACAACACGAACAATTAAAATGTAAAGGGGGTTGCCGAAAGTTATAAACAAAAGTAACATATCTTCGAAATTTTTATTTGTGTTTAGTAAACAATAATTATTACGTAACTTGGTTCTATACAAAATTAATCAACACCGCTGTTTTAATAATTAAAAATTGTCTCCAATTGCTATTCTCGTCCATTCAAAAAATTAAAAAAAAAAAAACTTAAAAATCGGAAAATTAAAAGTGGTGGAGGAGGTTGAAATTTGGCAAGCTGGTGGATCGATCACTTTTTGTCCAATAAACTTTTCTCTGACTCATAAGGGAACGGCAGCGAGAGTGTAACATTAAAAGAAATCGTACGACGGTCAAACTTTGTACCATGCTAGAGAAAAAATTGTGCATCAAAAATACATTTTCGTGTATTTTATTTGATTTTAGCCAAGATTAATTACTATTTAACTTGTGTACTTCTAAAATTCACAAATTTTTAAGTAAATTAAAATTACAGCGAACCGCAATTCTGGAGGATTTAATCCCAGCCCATCCCATAGAGAGTCAAACGAACCTTGTTCACCATTTCTTACCCATACCAGAGAGTCCAAGAATCTCCTCAATCTGTTTAGGACTACTTCAAAGATTGACAGATGTTCTTCTTTTACCGGCACATTTAAAGATGTCCCATATTTTGGGGTACGGAGTTTCCGTATATTTGCAATGCGGCGTACTTTACTTTAAGTCGATTTTTTTGTTTCAAGCTTTTGAAACATCGCGTGGACTATTGATTTAATTGCAAAATTACGCCTTTTAACGGTTTTTAATAACTCCTCCATATCAGCAGCTAACAATGCCTTGGAAGTCTGCATATTATCTGGAAGTCTTAGGGCTACAAAAATAACTGAGGAAGGTATCAAAGCTAGTGCAAAATTTAAGCGGTCACATATAGTATGTTACATAAACATTTTTGATTTTTAAATAAAATTTATTAAATCCTGTTCAGAGACCTTACCCATGGTAGGCAATCCAGATTAACCCAGTGCCGGCGCCATCTATTAAGCACGAAAATTAGCAATTGTGATTTAGTTTTAATACTTTGTCTTAGAGGACGCTGATCTTGAATTGAACCTGTCGTTACTCCTTCGATCCGACCGGCTTTACAAGCGGGAGTGTGGCGATTCTGTTTTTAAGCAAGACCAATTATGTAATTCGCATATGCTTAGTAGTTTGGCACACGGCGACGATTGGCGAAGTAATATGGCGGGGTTTTGCCTTTGATTGTTATCGACCTCCGCGAGCTGTTGCGACTCTTCGATGCTGGTGTGGAGGGGGTTTTGGATATTAAAGCCTTGTTGTGTTAGAATATTTATGGTATTAGTCTATCCGAACAGACCCCTTTACAAAGAGGCTCCGCTTTGTTCTTTTACCGATTGTAAATTGTATCGACGTCTCAGGCAATAAAAGACAGAGCGGGCAAGTTGGGGTGAGGAGATATAATTAGGGTCCTTTTATGCAATGTTTTTTTAGATTTACGATAAGTTTAGTTAAGACGTAGTTGTCGAACCGAGAGGATTAAATTCGATTCTGCTTCGTTACGTTGTTTTATTTGATTGTGATTACGGTTGAGATCGTGGACTTAAAGATTCAGGATAGAACGCGTCGACAAGATCGATTTTTATCAAATGAACATAAGAGAAAGCCACGAAGAAGGTGGAAATTCGGAAAATTTTAAAGTTGTCGTAGGCGGTTGAAATTGAACTGGCAGGTAGATCGCGTCGAGACGGGCTATACACATGCAGGCAAGTCCGCGCGCAATTGTCCAGGTAAGTAAGCGAGTAAGTGCGAAACGAATTGCGGCCACACATTATTCACGTAAACGTCGAGGTTCGTCAGTGGGTGGGACCTGCTGTTGCGCAAAAAATGAAGTTTTCCTTCGCACTTGCTCTAAAAATCAGACGCAATCTGATTCGCTTCGAGCCGCGCTTGGAAATAAACGCGCCGTGAGTTTTGACACATACACATTCGCACTTACCCTCGTGTCTCGACCATTTGCCTGCATGTGTATAGGCCGCTTAAGAGAAAGGCAGTAAGAATGTGGAAACTAGAAACATTAAAAGTGGTCATACGGGGTTAAAACTTGGTACTGTTGTGAGGTCAGGATGCGTGTATTTCTACTGGTATTACGTAGAATAATTGACACCCGGGTTTTTTCTGGTAATAATAATTATAATAAATTGACTGTATATTGTTATATGCAAATATACAGTAGAGAAGAGGCGAAGTCTAGTAAAAACTACCCCACTTAACCTCTTAAATGTTTAAATTGGAAACTAAATAGGAAGTTATAATCACATTGTTAAATTAAATATAGTATAATAGATAAATGTAATAGTAATATAGAGAACAATAGAAAGTTATTAAAAGTAAAAATAAAAAGAATAACATTGAAAATCAAATTATTTGAGAAGTTAGCAGTTTCAACCTGAAATATTTTTTAAGGAATTTAATTGAATGTGGTTTTACTGAATCGGGTATGCTATTAAAAAATACAACAGCGTTATATGAAAATGTTCTGCGGAACAAAGATAAACGATATCGTGGCAGTGAGAGTCTGTAGCCAGTTAAGTTCCTGAATTTTATGCAACAGCTGATTCCACTTTTATTTTTCGAAGAGACAGTAATTTTCAATTACATTTACTACTCTGACTTCGAAAGATTTTCTTTCGAACTAACACAAAATATCTTTTTAAATCACCTAAAAAACCATCGGCTCCAGCACAAACTTTTACTTGCCTCCTTTCCGAAAATTCCCAATTGCCTTATGGCGTTTACCCAAATAGATAATAAAAATAAACTTTAATTCATGTATTTTGAATGTTATTGTTATTTTTTGTTATGTTGTTATTGCTATTATTATAACTGAAAGTGTTTTTTTGAAAAGTAACCTAAAGTAATTTAAACCTATCGTACATTATTATTTGACGGTACCATGCCAGAGAAAAAATTATTCATCGAAAATATTCGTGTATTTTATTTGATTTTAGCGAAAAATATTTAATATTTAACTAATTACATCGAACTGTAATCTTAGAGGATTCAATCAAGAAGCATCTTGGATCGCCCGTGGAAAATGTCTTCCGTGTTTCGCCTCACAAAACTTTAACATTATACTTAGAAGGGCAAATATTTGAAACCGTCGAAGCTCTCATTCTCTTCAAATTCGACAAGAAAACGGAAGATGAGAAAAGATCACACGATTTCAGAAGTTTTTCAAATTTACAATCCTTTTAACTCTTTCATGTTTCATGTCGACTCGTTACAGTCTTGAAACTTGATGACAAAAATCGGGAGCTTCAAATGAACCGTGTTGATGAAGCAAAATGATCATCAAAATTTACTCACTTCTTTTACCCTTACCGGAGCGTGCAAAAAACTCCTGTTTAGATCAGTATATTCGTTCGTTCGTTTGTTGAACTCCGACTGGAATCCTGCAGAAGTTTCGCCAAGATGTCACTTGACATCTTCAACGCTCGCGCTCCTATAACACTGGGAGGTTATCGGCGATGCGTGTGGTATTTATTGATAATTTCTTCTTTTCTTTCACTAGTCTAGAATGATATCGTGCATTATCCGTAACAATTTTTAATTTGAAACGTAAATGGACCTATTTAAATTTGATTGAGCATTGATGCTGCGGTGTATTTCCGAATAAGTAGAAGCGTTTATTTAAACATCAGGTGATATGTTGCGGAGGTATTTGACTGTGATCCTTCCAGTAAGTACGTATTTATGTACCTGTTTTCACTGAACAGTTCAAAGGGTAAGGGTAAGTACCTGTACTCTATTTATCTTCCAGGTAAGTTTGAAAATAATCATTTAAGGCTATAGATTATATTCAAACAATATATAAGCAGGTACAGAGTAATATACGAGCCAGTTTCAGTCAAGTTCTGAAGAAGCCAACAGGATTCGACTCAGCAAAAACCGACGCAGGAGAAGTGCAGAAGTTTTGAAAAAAAGTAGTAGTCAAAGTTAACCACGCGGTCGTTTGTAAAAACAGAATATTTCTGGTCACGGTATACCCAGTTTAGGGCCGGTTTCCACACCAACCAGCGCTTGTCTCGCGACATCACGGAGCTGGTGTCGGGCAAGAAATGCCCGCGGAATGTCGCCGGTGCGCAGCATGCCGCGAGGACCTCCAAAACCAACGACATCTTTATCGCGTCTTCGCTGCGGCAGTTCCAAAAGGTCCGATTATCGCGACCCATCAAGTTCTTCGTGAGTATACGGCGTTGGCTTCGTCGCCGACGCTTTCAGCGGCTTCTTTCGATCTGCCGCACACGTTGTCGAAGCGAAACCTATTCTCCAGGCGAGACGTCCGCTCGGATATCGCGAACTTGGACAACTGCGGCGTCCTCTGCGGGATCGCGCGGACCCGGGGGACCGAGGCCGCCTTCTTCAAGAGCTTCGCGGAGGGATGAAGGGGGTGTGGGAGACGATTCAGTAAATTCCCGTAGGAAATAGCGCGTTTCATTTCTGCGTCGCGTCATCAATCAAGCTCGGGTTACCGAGGAAATGACGAGGAACGCTCCGTTTCCTTATTGAAGCCCGAGAT